CGTTACATTTCCATCTTCGGCCCCGACCCCAGCTTGACACTCGGACCCGCCATAGCAAGCACAGGCAGCGTTCTCAGCCGTCACCGCAGGCACTGGAGGAGGGCAGAGATCAATGGGTTCCAAGCCTTCCTGTTCTAGTGCAGTATTTATAGATGATGTAGATGTAGAAAGCAGTGACCAATAATGTACAGATATGTAAACAAAATAAACAGAAGTATTTTAAAGGTCACCAATTTGGAGATAAAAAGCAATACAAAGAAAAAAATGCATCCATTTAGAATCAGAATAATCATACTTTGGCTCCTCCTGCTGTCCCTACAAGGGAAAACTGAACCAAAACAATAGGTTTGGACCAAACACCTCCCTTCCCCTGCCCTCAATTTCTACTCCTACATTGCCTGACTCCACACACACAGACGTGCACACGCACTACATATGTACATAGACACACACATGCACACACACCATATACACCACACACACACAAATGTTGTCAGGCAATAGATTTCAGCGTCAAAAAGTGAATAATACGGAGGCTAATTAAGACTGCTCCCTTGCTATTTGCCCTCAATGAAAAAAAAAAAAAAAGATTAGGCTAATGACAACGCTGGTATCCAGAATCAACATGGGACCAGAGGCTCCATGGCACCAGGAAACACCATGTTTTGCATGCTGGCTTTTCAGTGGTAACTCCCTACCCGTTTGAGCAATAAAAACCAATAACCACAGATAAAAGGGAGTGAAGGAGCATTAGTGATGGGCAACATTGAAGGGCCTGACTGTATTTTGAAATTTCATGTCCAGGCTCTCGAGACTCATGTGGCTTATCACCGGGATCAGCCCTGCCAGCACTCCGGAGTGCCAAGCTTGCGGACTACTGACTGAGCCCTTGCAGGGGACAACAAAGGCCCAGAGACCTCTGTTAGAAACAGCAACTTTTCTCCCCAGGAGAGTCTGTCCATTCATTAGCTGATTAGCACAGGTAAGAAAACAGAAACCAATCTAGGTATATTTCAAACAGAGGGACTGTAACAGGATTTGGCTACACAAATGATGGAAGCGATGAGAAGCCAAATGGGGGAGCTGATATGGTTCGGCTCTGTGTCCCCACCCAAATCTCATCTCGAATTGTACTCCACACATGTTAGAGGGGAGCTGGTGGGAGGTAACTGGATCATGGGGGCAGACTTCCCCTTGCTGTTCTTGTGATAGTGAGTTCTCATGAGATCGGTTGTTTGAAAGTGTGTGGCACTTCCCCTCTGGCTGTCTCTCTCCTGCTGCCATAGTAAGGCATGCTTGCTTCCCCATCACCTTCCACCAGGATTGTAAGTTTCCTGAGGCCTCCCAGCCATACTTCCTGTACAGCCTGTGGAACTGTGAGTCAACTAGACCTCTTTTCTTTATAAATTATCCAGTCTCAGGTAGTTTTTTTTTTTTTAGATGGAGTCTCATGTGTCACCCAGGCTGGAGTGCAATGACGCAATCTTGGTTCACTGCAACCTCCACCTCCCAGGTTCAAGCGATTTTCCTGCCTCAGCCTCCCAAGCTGGGATTACAGGCACCAGGTAGTCCTTTATAGTGATATGAAAATGGACTAGTACAGGAGCCAAACACTCACCAGGAGGACAAAGTGAGGAGGAAGTGGACCTCGCAGGAGCTGGGCCGAGAGGGACTGCTCTGCAGGAGCTGAGTCCCGGGGGAGGACTGAGAGAGAGAGAGAAAGAAATGCTCTGGCCTCCTCCTCCTTCTCCCCAGCATTCCTGTGTCCCACCAATGCCTCACGTTGGCTGGATTCTCCCAGAAGTCAGAAGCAAAGGAGTCTGGGAAACACAGTCTCCACAACACAGAGGAGGGGCAGAGAAAGGGGGTCAGAGCTGAGAAAAAAACAGGCAACGGCTGACCAGTGATCCAATAAGATCCGAGGGTGGGCCCTTCTCCAGAGGATTCCAGCACTGAGAGACTACAAAACATCAGAGACCAGAGACCTCTGGGAAAACACGGTGCTGAGGAAATACCATCACGTCTCCCCTCAACCAATATCCTAAATCCTTTCTACAGTGTTCTGCCTTATAAGCCTTCCTCCCTTTTTCATGTACCTTTTTTTGATTATTTTGGAGACCTCTGGCAGCCCCCTAAGTTTTCACTTAATTGCTTTGAATTTGCAAGCAGCAGCTTCATTTCCATTTTACACTTGGTTACTGTGTGGCCTGGGTACAAGCCAGCCGTGCAGATCCGGGAAAGGAAGCCTGCAGCCCAGGTGACTCCCCAGCGTGGGAGCCAGTGGTGGCAGGAAAGGAAGCCTCCTAGTGATGGCAATCATCCTCTACAGGACTTGCAGCCCCAGACAGTGCACAACAGCGAGAGCAAGCAGCCTGACCCTGGGCAGGAGCAGATGCCCTGGATGCAGCAAGACCAGGTCTCACCACATTCATTTCGATCATCGATAACAAGAGCAGGGTGATACAGGGCTACGAGGCGATGCTCCTAAATAATAACATGCAGCAGGAGGTGAACCCTAACGGTAATTACTATAAGAAACCCCCTCAGCCACTCCTGAACCATTGTAACAATGGTTACGATGCGCCAGAATGGGTCAACAGAAATAGACCGAAATGCAAACTTGGAAAATGAGGTTGAAGAGGTCTGCCGAGGAAACTCTTGCATATGGGAAATGTCAAAACCCTATATGTGTAAGAAACAACTCAATCATAAACATAAGGAAAAGCTTAGGAACAGAAGGACCACCAAGCTCAGATGGCTATACTGAGAATTCAGAGCAGAACAGATCAGATCAGCTGACATCCTACTAAGGTCAAAAATACACTAGAGAATTCAGGATGCAAAGGAGCTTACTGGAGAAAAGCCACCAAATTAACTCAGAATCACATGTAAGCTTCCCATTAGGAATTTCACACAAACTACCCCTGACATCACCTTGGCTTCTCTCTGACCAAGAGAACCATTCTGAACCGCCTACGGGCATCACAGGAGAGCGGGCAGGTCCACGTGTAAGCAGGCATTTGTGAATGGAACCGCAAGTTTAATAAAGTCTTCTGAAATTTGGAATTTTGCCCCATTGGTGATTTATTGTTAAGCACAACTCCCAGGGATCTTTCATTGCTAAAAATACTATTTGCTTTTTATTTAACACTGAACCTTTTGATGTTTTATAATACAAAAATAGTGTCTTATTATTTTAAAAGCTTAGGAGAGAAACTAGCCATATTATTAGAAGAAGAAGATATATGCAGCTATAGTCTGTTCAAATATCAAGAGGTGTGACTTTTCAAATTCACATTTCAATCTTTATTTACATTAGACTTTCAGAAATAGTGGGTGTAAATATTAAAACGCCCAAGCCTGGGTAAAATTTTATTGAGAATAACTACAAATAAAAGGAAACTGATTTTTTAAAGTCAGTTTCTGAAATTTAGATGAAAAGAATATTGAGTATTAACAAAAAAAAAAAGATATTTACATATCAATGAAGGTTTTCTGCTCATAGATTCATTTCCTACGAAACATAACAGAGGCAAGCTTGGGGAATTATAAAGAAAGGAAAAACCCTAATCAAATAGGTACTGTTGTTCAAACAGAATATTAGCCAAAATGATCCAATCAGTTGCTGGAACTAAATTTTTTTTTCTTTAAGCCATTCATGCCAGAACACAAGCTCTCAAAGCATTAAGAATCTGTGCTACATTCCAAGTGTTTGCTTCCAACAGACGGGGGGATGTGAAAGATACATTCCATGGAAATGGGGTGGGGGGGACAAAGAAGGCACCAGTCAGTCATTGGCAAACAAGGAATTCAACCCCAATGGAGGCATGATTCTCAAAGTAAGCAGTATTCATTTGTATTCTAGGGTATATTTAACAGCTATGTGAATCAACCTAAACATACTAAATTCAAGTTGCCGGATCTTTAATTTCACCATTGTTCAGAATTACACCATAGAATGCAACATAACCTATGAAAATTTTTCTAAAGAGAGTACAAAAAGTAGCAAAGTATACCTTCATGGAATGAGTTTCATACTAAACTTTGTTTTCATATTTGTCTAAGGAATTCAGACAATTAGAGGTTCACCCTGTCATCAGACATGGTGATGGCTGTCATGGTTTTAGGTCTTTGTTTGAAACAAAATCAGTGCTTATCATTGTAAAACACAGTAGCTTAGAGTATGTCAATTGAGGATCTCCATAATTTATTGACTCAATCTTTTGCTTATCAAAAACAGCAATACATTTTTCTAAAGATCTTTAGGGGGCAATCTCAGAAATACACATACACACACACACAAATTCCTGGTTTCTAGGTGGAATTTAAATATAATTCTATTTTATTGCAATATTAAGATTTCAAATTTAAAATTAAAGAAACCCAAGAATTATAGAGGTTATCAAAGACATATTAACTTGTTCTTGGAGTAAGTTCAAAATTAATAACAAAGGTATTATTATGCTAATATATACTTTATGATATTCTGCCCAATAGAAGAGACTGAGAATCTGACTCTGGCAGTTTCTGACCTCCCTTTACTTTGAATTAATGATGTGAACACTGTGTTCCCTTCTGAAATCTGTGATTTATGTGAAGTTTATGACAGAAACATGGAAGAAAAGCATAAACAGGGAAAAGAAAAATGCAATGGTGATTCCTATTTGGAAAATTAAATGAGAAAGATCTTTTCTCCAAGATGTCCTTAAATGATTCTCTATTTTAACCAAATCCAATGGCCTTGTCCCTTCCCTAAACCCTGTTTTTTAGAAGGAATTTTAAATGTATTTGCAATTTCTATTTCCAATCTGAAGCTGGACACAAATTAGTTTGTATACCGATAGAATGCTAAGAAAAGCTTAAATCAATTTTCACCTTTTTATTTATGTTCCTCATTCTTCAGAAACGTAATTGCAGTTTTTATTAACTTTGTTTTATGGATCTAATATTTAAGAAGAAGTCTATCTTTTATGTCACAGCAAGAAGGTTAATGCACTTACAGATTCCCCTGCAATACATCTTGGGCAAGGCTGGGCTGAGCTCCTTCCACCATTCTGAGAAATCTATTTAACAAATCACAGTTGCAGATATATCAGAACAATGATTATTTACACTTTCTATTAAAATATTTCAACATGCTCACAACTAGTTTGGTGGGAACAGGAACATACCCCTGTACTTAGCCTCCCCTGGCTACTCTCTGGCCTCGGTGCTGGGGGGCAGCCTCTTGAGGGAGGCTCCCGGTCCTCTGGGCCCCACGATGCCAGGACACAGGTGTTCACCGGGTGGCAGCCACGCTCGTGCCCACTGGCTTCGAATCTCCTGCATGCCCGTTTCTGAAACAAACGAAATTTCACTTGAGATGGTCTCATAAAGCACACAACACTCTAATTGAATTTGCTTTCAGAAAGCTTCAGCTGCAAATACAGAACCCTGTGGAGCTGGAAAACTTTATAGGGCATTTGAGGAGATGATTTTAAACTTTATCTTTTCAGAATAACAATCATCAATTACATTTAACCTCATTATTTCTTGCATTGCCTGATATTTACTTAGCTTTATACATTTAAAATAGTCACTTCAAATAATTTTGGCTGAAACTCTTGTAATAAACTTGGTGACTGGTTTATTGATATTGAAAATGTGCAAAACCCATAAATTTTATTCAAGAAACTAGTTATATGCTTTTGCTTAGTATCAAATTACATACTTTCTTAATACAATATGAATAATTCACATGTGACTACTTCTCTGTCTCACTGGCACTGAAGAGCAAATTAATTTTATTTATTTCAAAGGTTGCACACACAGTCCATAACTGATAACCTTTGGGAAAGTTAGCATTTGGTTTTTACTACTATGTGAACTAAAGAAAATAATTACAAAAGGAATCCTCTAATGCTAAAGAAAAAAAGTACTCGGTTTGAAAGTCCCAAGACTTTCTCTATGTTTAGAGTAACAATGTTGTAACTGACACAGAGTTTCAGAGGCAGGAGGACCTCTGTCAACAGTCATGGAGGCCACCCTGGCCCAGGGCCAGCAATCCATGCCAGGAGCCCTGGCAGCCAGCCCAAGAGGCCCCGCTGCTGGACAGCCCCGATTTCAGAACACACTGCATAGTACACTGGCATCTCCCCAACTTCTTCAGCCACTTGCAAATCACCTTTATGACTTTTGCAAAATGTGTTTATTATCTGTGCTATTATTATTTAATATATTCTTAATGAACTTTTCTCACTTAATGCATTTATACAATATAGAAACCTTATGACTAGAAATGATGCATTAAAAATGGGAGATGAAGGAAAAGGAAGAGAGAAGAGTTCTCATTATTGTATAGTTCATTATTGTATAAGCAATAGGTGAGTATTAACTGATGCTGAAAAAAACTGAGAATTGGACAATGAAGGATTAAATAATAAAACAGGGAACCTAAGGATATTAAATAGGTTTGAACACAAATAATCACTAGAAAATACAAATCCTTCTACATCCAAAATTTTAAAAGAACAAGACCCAACTATACACTGTATACAAGGGACGCACTTAAAATCAAGTGATTCTGAAAGGCTACAAATAAAAAGGATGGACCAAAGTATACTAGAGAAATAAAAACAAAAAGAGAGCAGGAGCAGATCACATAGAACACAAGCTCCAAAGTGTGAATACAACCAAGGACTTTTTTTTTAACGCTAAAAGCCACAGTACACAGTGAAGACAGAATGCTCATGAACACTATGAGCCAAAAAATATAACCAAAACCTTTATCAAACAAAGACTACAGGAGATGTGAACAAACGCTGTTAGAAACATACTAATAATAGGAGGTTTCATACACCATTCTCGGTACAAGGCAGAGCAAGTATACAGAAAACAAGTCAGGAGATAGATCTAAACAACGTAATCAACAAAGGTTGACCTTATGGACATATATATTGAACTCTGTACCCTGATAACAGAGTATACACATTCCTCTCAAGAACCCACAGCACAGTCACCACTGATGGCATTAAAGGAAAAAACCATGATTTCCATAGGGTAGAAATGTAACCAATACTTTCTGATTATAATGCAATAAACTATCAATAATTAACAAAAACAAAAACATGGAAAGGCACTTCCACCTGGAAATTTAAGAGTCTTATTATTTCTTAGGTCACCAACTGAGAAGAAAGAATTTTTTAAAAATAATTACAATGAAAACACTACATATCAGAATCCATGAAATACATTTAAAACAGTAATCAGAGAAAAATTCATTGCACTGACACTTTTATCAATAAAAATGAAAGAATGAAAGTTAATAATTCCCAGCCAGGCACGGTGGCTCACGCCTGTAATTCCAGCACTTTGGGAGGCTAAGGCAGGCAGATCGCTTGAGGCCAGGAGTTTGAGACCAACCTGGGCAACATGGTGAAACCCTGTCTCTACCAAAAAATATAAAAATTAGCCAGGCATGGTGGTGCACCTGTAGTCCCAACTATTCAGGAGGCTGAGGCGGGAAGATTGAGCCCAGAAGGCTGAGGCTGAAGGGAGCTGAGATCATGCCACTGCACTCTACCCTGGGTAACAGAGCGAGACTGTCTCAAAAAACAAATAATAACAATAGTAATTCCCAGCTCATAAAAACTAGGAAAAGAACAAGAAAGCAAACCAAAATAATACACAAAGAAAACATGAAGGAAAAAGCTAAAATTAATGAGAAAAAAAGAATAGATAAGATAAAATTAATGAGGTGGAGAACAGAAAAACAGTAGATCTAATGTACAAATATAAATCCTGGTTTTTAGAGGGAAAAAAAGTAGACAAACCACTAGTTAAGTTACTCAAGAAAAAGGAGGAGTGAATACAAAAGTAGAAAATAAGAAAGGACCCAGGGGAAATAACCAATGAAACAAGAAATTCTAAAAATCTTAAGGGACTATTTCACAGACCTCTATGCAAGTGAATTTGAAAAATGTAGATGTAACTGATAACTTCCTAAGGATAGTCTGATTACCAAAACTGATCCCATTAGAGTTAGAAAGTTTAAACTGATGATTTCCCAGAAGAAACAGAAAGAGTTATTAAGTGACTACCCACAAGAAGCCCCAGGACCACATGGTTTCCCAGGGGAATTCTCCCAAACCTTCAAAGGCCAGGTAATGCCAATGCTCTATGAAGAAGATTCTAGCACACTGTCTCCTTTAATGAAGCAAATGTAACACTGATAAACCAGACAGAAAGAACAAGAAAATACAATTATGCACCAATCAATTGCTCAATATCGATGTAAAAATATGAATGAGGTCTAAGATATTCAAAATATTAGAAAACTCTTAATATAATGTACTATATTAATAAACATAAGGAAATAGTGTGATGACCTCCATAGATTCTGAAAAATCCTTTAACAAAATTTAAAACTTATTTATGATAAAAGTTAAAGAACACAGGAATTGAGGGTTATACTGTTAAATTAATAAAATACACATTCCTTAATTCATTACTAAATGAGGAAAAACTAATAGCATTTCTACTACTATCAGGAACAGGGCAAAGATGCTCACTGTCTCTGTTTCTGTTCAACACTGTATGAGAGGTATCACCCAATATACTGAGACGTGAGAAATCAATCAGCATTATAAGAAGGGGTAAAGTAGTAAAACCACTTCTATTTGCAGTTGATAACCATATATATCTGGAAATCCCCAGAGAATCAATGATGAAACTAACTCAAACAATAAAAGAATTCACTAATACAGAATTAACATACAAAAATCAATAGCTTTCAAATACAAAATAATAATCAGAAAAATTTAAAATAATTGCAACAAGGATTAAATAGGAACAAATTTAACAAGAATTTCACAAAATCTATACAAGAAGAATGTAAGACATTCTTGAAAGACACTAAAGTAGATATGAACAAGAGAAAAGACATCCCCAATTATTGGATAGGATAACCCAGCATTATAAAGATGACAGTTCTCCCTAAATTAATTTGTAAATTCAATATAATCCCAGTAAAAATCCCAGTAAACTATTTTACAGAGTTACATTAGTTGATACTAATGGTCACAATGAAAAACAAATAAGCAAGAAGAGCTAGGAAAACCCTGAAGAAAAAAATGAAACAACTCCTGGACATGAAAACAAACCATAGAGACTCCATAATTAAACACGGTGGCACACAAGGAGACAAACAGACCAGTGTGGTAGCATTAAGAGTCCACATAGAAATCAAAATATATATGAAAGTTTGGCTTCAAATCACTGTGATAAGGATGGACTTTTCATATTTACATATATAATTTTCATTTTTTTTTAAGAGATAAGGTATCACTATGTTGACCAGGCTGGTCTCACACTCCTGGCCTCAAGTAATCCTCCCATCTTGGCCTCCCAAATTGCTGGGATTATAGGCATGAGCCACTGTGCCCAGCAGGATGCACTTTTTAATATACGGTGCTGGGACAACTTGGAAACATTTGGAGAAAAGAAATTTAGATCTGCACCTCACACCATGACATGGTTTGGCTGTGTCCCTACCCAAATCTCATCTTGAATTGTAGCTCCTATAATTCCCACATGTTGTGGGAGGGACCCACTAGGGGATAATTGAATCATGGGGGCGGTTCCCCCATACTGTCCTCGTGTTAGTGAATAAGTCTCATCTGATGTTTTTATAAGGGGCTCCCCTTTAGCTTGGTTCTCATTCTCTCTCATGTCTGCTGCCATGTAAGATGTGCTTTTCACCTGCAGTGATTGTGAGGCCTCCCCAGGCACATGGAACTTTGAGTCCATTAAACTTCTTCTTTTTTTTTAATAAATTACCCAGTCTCCAGTATGTCTTTATCAGCAGCATGAAAACAGACTAATACAACCACATACAAAACCAAACCAGATGCATCAGGGACCTGAATGCAAAAGGTCTAATTATAAAGAACTATGCAATTCCTCGGAGAAAATATGAGTGAATTCTCTAATCTTGGTGTAGGGAAAGATTTTCTAACTGATTCAAATACAGAGGCAATAAATATGATTCAAAATACAGAGGCAAGAAAATCAAGATTGATAAGTTTTACTATATGAAAATAAAAACTTCTGTAGGGCCAAACAAACAAAAAAATCCTAAACAACATCAAGAGATAACTGATAAAAAAGGAAGAAAAATGTTTGCAACATATATCACAGAAAAAGGGTAAATAATCTGAATATAAGAAACTATTACAAAAGCTGACTGACAAAGGACCAAAAACCTGAAAGATAAATGGAGAAAAGACATAAACAATTTACAAAAGCTATTAAAATGGTCCTCAAACATGAAAACAGTGTTCAAACGCACTCATATTTA